ATGAACACATTTTCACGTTCTGACCACATATATTTGAGAAATTTGCATCGGCACAAGACATGGAGTTGGAATAGGGAGAAAGAGGTGGAAGCGGAACGAAAGCGGATATCTTCTTCCCTTTTGAAGATTATGCTTCGTTAATTTAGAATTAATCTTATGTCCGAAAAGTTGGAAAACATTTTGGAACTATGTTTTTCAATCACAAATTGGTCATCTTCTTTAATTTTGGCCTGATAGAGTAGCAACATATACTATTTATAGGGTAAACCGCGGGTGTTCCACTGTACCGGTCTGGCTGCAACAACGGAACGCCAAACTCTAGTTTTGAATGACTATATTTAGTGAATTATTTATCGCTATCAATGCTTAACGGAAGCCAGTTGTATCCAAATAGGCCATACTAAACGTCGCTACAAAACATAATTCCGAATCACTTTTCCTCAAAAATATCGCCCAAATTTTCATATTTTCTTCGGCTTAACATTAAGCAGCGTTTGCGCATGATACTTACTTACTTCTTAGATGGCCTGTCTTCACTCGTCGTGCAGGCCATAGCATTGTTTCCTTTCGCTTCTGTCTCTCGCTAGCGTCATCCACGATATCAATATTGAACTGCGGCGGCTACGTTCAGGTTGAGGTCCAGATCCATTACTCATTAACAGCTGAGAATTCAGCTGGTCCATCAGTGCAACGAACACGCCAGCCCAGTCAGTGGCATCCCTCGAGCACGTTTTGTTCCGCGAGAAATCGATTCCAGAGTTCTTAGTGTCCATTTGTCGTCTGTCCTCCTCATTATATGACCAGCCCATCAATGCGCCTTAGAGACGTATTCCGCTGGATCGCGAAGACAAGATATTGATTGAACTGCGAGATCCGATGTTGAGTGCGGTTGTACTTCAGAAGACGTCCTAGCGCTTTATGGGTTGTTCGAAGTACCTTGGACAGCCACAGTGTCTCTGCTGCATAACAGAAGGCAAGGAGAATGGTTGAAACGAACAGGTGGGCTGGGAGCTCTGTTCCGTCAGTTGGTCTCTGGCTTCCTTTTGGGGCCCGAAAGCGACCCAAAGTGCTCTTCGCCTCCTGTCTAGTTCTTCCAAAATGTTCTTCATGTTCATCGAACGCCCGGTATATACGCAAAAAGACTCTTCGCGATTGAGCCTTCTGATTTCATTTCTTGATCCTCCCAAAAAACCTTCTTCATGAAATGAGCCTTATTCCGCTTGATTCGTAGTTCTATCCGCTTCTCTAAATCGTTTAGTTCTTTCAAATCGTCTCCGCTCCAGTGATGCGAGAATAGAACAATATCGTCCGCAAAACGAAAGTCCAGTCCAGTCCAGTAATTTCACCACCCAATGCAACGCGGCGGCAAACAACTTTTGCGACACTGTGTCGCCTGGTCGAATTCCCTTCGAAATTGGTATGT